AATATAAACCAACACATGGACAGAGAAAACTGTATTGTGGTTACCAGGGGCAATGGGAGTGGGGGGTGGGCAAAAGGGGTGAAGGGAGTCATATGTATGGTGATGGACAAACAAAAATGTACAATCCAAAATTTCACAATGTTAAAAAAACTATTAAAACATCAATAAAAAAATACATTATTTATGTTAATATGTAATGGGTTTGTTATTTTAAAATAAATATTTTGTAAATGTTTTAATTACTAGTAAGCCAAATATCAATATAGATAACCCATATAAGTAAAAGCTCTTTAAAATACTTTTGAAAAATGTAAAGGAGTCCTGAGACAAAAAAAAAAAGTGAACTGCTGTTCTATATAATGAAGGTTGCCAAAGATCTATTAGAAAAAAGGAATATTAAAGTAATTCTCCTCTTTCCATTCTTCACAGCTAAATCAGAATTTCTCATGCTGCTTATGAAAAGAAAGTTTGCCAGTAACACAAGTCATAACTGACCATCCTCAGAACCCAAAGAGACCACATTAGTATCAGAAATCTGTGTTCTACTATTGTCTTGATATAATGGCTGTTGCCAAACATGAGAGGTCAATGGAACAACCTGAAAATCAAAAGCAGATTTAAATAAAGTAGTAACACAATCACTATGATTAAACAATGATAAACAAAATCAAACATTTAGATTATATTCTCAGTTTATAAAGCACTTTCACATACATAATAACATTTCAACTTCACAACCACTGTCCAAATTATTGTCCACTTAAAAATAAGGAAACAGAGACTTAAGGTTACCCATTTAGGACTCAACACACTTTCCAATAAACCACAGCAGTTCCTTAATCTCCTATACCCCCTAAAAGTAAAAGAAGCAAGCAGAAACAAGCAAGTTATCTGTTTTATAATCTTACTGCTTGAGGCACCTAAGAAATTAACCCTAATAATAGGAACTAAAATCATCACATAGCATGGACAATGGGAACAAAAGTAGGCTCATTTTGTGAAATCAGGGATTGAAGCAGGGTTCTCCCACCTGTGAAAGAAGGCAATAAAAGCTGTGACTGCTGCCCAAGGCTGAAGCAATGCAAATGGAAAAGATTAGAGGCATCAAACAAAAACGACCTACGTCAAGTCACAGGCTGCTTCAGGGACTGGTTCTTGAGATTTTTCCCCAATATCCCTGGAAAATAAGGACCCAAAGCTTCCAATATAAGACCTCCTTCTAAAGAAGCAGCCACACGGGGCAAGGCAGAGACAACCACAAAACAGGAGCTAGGGAAAGGTACACCAAAACACAAAACAACACAACACTCCTGATGAAAATGAGATTACAAACTATACTTTCAAAAGATTTTAAAATAAGAATATCTCAGATCCTCAAAGAGATAAAGACACAATATTCATAAAAAAAGAAGAGATAAAAGTAAGACAGGCAGTAATGAGTAAAGAAAAGATGAATGCTAACAAAATATTAATAACCACAAATGTTGAAAGAGCCTCTGAAGAAAACCCAAAGTCATTAGACTTTTTCCAGAATTAAAACACTGTTACTACACTAACAAAACATTTTTACATAGCACTTACAACAATGTGCTTTTGGTCACAGAAAGGCCAGCTTAATTTGAAGTCTATTCAATAACTAAAAGACTTCTAAGGTATCAACTCTTCCAAAAGGTTTTTCAAAAGGTAGAGCACCAAGAAGCACACCCACCTTGCTTCAATGGCAATTTTTAAGGGATAAAGAATAAAAAGCAAAGAAAGTAGTTTTGTAAATTCATTTTGGCAATCTGAAATACCCAAATATATAAGAATACAGCCAATGTTTTGGCACAGTTTGTCTTCTTTGAGCCCTCCAGGAAAGAAGAATGCCAAATAAATGTTCAAAATGGCTATTCATTGCAGCTAAATAATGCTGGATGTGGAGCATGGGGTCTTGCCTTTGAAAATAGCTAATTCACAACAGCTTACAAAAACGAATTCAATTCATTAGGATATTTGTAGAAAACTAATGATACAATATTAAGAAACTAGCACTTTGACAACTAACGCAATGTGTGAGAAAAAGAACACTCTCCCTCACTTTTATCAGTTCAAAGAAAACCCAAAGGTTAAAATTAAATGTTAAAAGAAAAGTTCTTATTAAAAAACCCATTTCCCAGAACTTATTTTTTTTTCAGAACTTCTAATTTTTATTACCTACCTGACTGTTTAGACTTCGTCAAAGAAACTAATTTCTAATACAGTCCCATATGTTTGACCAGCTTTCCCACAGTTGCTTCTGGATAGTGGTGTAAACCAAATACATGAAGCAGGATTCTTAAGATGAATGCTTCAAAACTAAGCAGTTGTCATCAGCAACTCTCTCATCTGAGATTAAATGTCTTGTCATATAAATTAACAGTTTTAAAGAGTCCTTCTGTGAGTCAGTCTTTAATATTCAAAGTTAGTGGTCTTCCAACTATATGCTGTCTGTGAGAAAAACACTTTAGATCTAAGGACAAGGGGGCTGAAAATGAAAGGCTGGAAAAAGATATTTCATGCAAATGGTAACCAAAAGAGCACAGGAGTGGCTATATTAACATCAGACAAAATAGATTTTAAATCAAAAACTGTTATAAGAGACAAAGAAGGACATTTTATAATGAAAAAAAGGTCAATTCACCAAGAAGATATAGCAATTATAAGTATTTATGCACCCAATCTCAAAGCCCCTAAATTAAGGAGACAACTTTGAAAGAATTGAAGGGAGAAATACATAGCAACACAATAATATTAAGAGACTTCAATACCCCACTTTCAATAATGGATAGAACAATCAGACAAAAGAACAATAAGGAAATAGAGGAACTGAACAACACTACAGACCAATTGGACCTAACACACATATACAGAACATTCCACTCAACAACAGCAGAATACACATTCTCAAGTACACATGGACATTGGGCCACAAAACAAGCCTTAACAAATTCAAGAAGATTAAAATCATACTCAGAATCTTTTCCAATCACAACGGAATGAAACTAAAAAACAACAGCATAAGAATAACTGGAAATTCCACAAACACGTGGAAATTAAACACTACACTATTAGAAAACCCATGGGTCAAACAAGAAGTCACAAAGGAAATTAGAAAATACTTTGACACAAATGAAATTGAAAGCACAAAATACCAAAACTTATGAGATGCAGTGAAAGCAGTGCTAAGAGGGAAGTTTAAAGCTGTAAATGCGTACATTAAAAAAAAGCAAGATCTCAAATCAACAACCTAACTGATACCTCAAGGAACTAGAAGAACAAACTAAACCTAAAGCAGGCAGATGGAAAAAAATAATAAAGATTAGAGTACTGATAAACAAAATAGTGAACAGGAAAAAAAAAATTAATGAAACTAAAAGTTGTTTTCTTTAAGAGATCAACAAAATTGACAACCACTTAGCTAGACTGATTAAGAAAAAAAAGAAGATTCAAAAATAAAATTAGTAATGAAAGAGGGAATATTACAACCAATGCCACAGAAAAAAGAAGAGAATACTATGAACAACTGTACACCAATAAATTGGATAGCCAAGAAGAAACACAAAAATTCCTAGAAACACACAACTTACCAAGACTGAATCATGAAGAAACAGAAAATCCGAACAAACCAATAACTAGCAAGGAGATTGAATCAGTAATCAAAAACCTCCCAATAGAGAAAAGCCAGGGACCAGAGGGCTTCACTGCAGAATTATACCAAACATTTAAAGAATTAACACCAATCTTCCTGAAACTCTTCCCAAAAACTGGAGAGGAGAGAACACTTCTAACTCATTCTATGAGGTCTGCATTACTCTGATACAAGATAGCTAGATGAAAACACTAAAAGAAAAGATAACTACAGACCGATATCCCTGATGAATACTGATGCAAAAATTCTCAACAAAATACTAGCACACAGAATTCACAGCACATTAAAAGGATTATACACCACGATCAAGTGGGATTTATCCCTGGAATGCAAGGATGGTTCAACATATAAACTCAATCAGTGTAATACCTTGCATTAACAGAATGAAGGACAAAACCACATGATCATCTCAATTGATACAGAAAAAGCATTTGACAATATTCAACACTCTTTCATTATAAAAACACTCAACAAACTAGGAATAGAAGGAAACTATATCAACATAATAAAGGCCATTTATGAAAGCGCACAACTAACAACATACTCAATGGTAAAAAACTGAAAGTTTTTCCTCTAAGATCAGGAACAAGGCAAGAATGCCCACTCTTGCCACTTCTATTCAACACAGTACTGGAAGTCCTAGCCAGAGCAATTAGGCAAGAAAAATAAAAAGCATCCAAATTAGAAAGGAAGGAAGAAGTAAAATTATCTCTATTCACAGATGACATGATCTCATGTGTAGAAAACTCTAAATATTCCACATGCATATGAGTTGTGTTAGAACTTGAATTCAGCAAAGTTGCAAGATACAAAATCAACATGCAAAAATCAGTTGCATTTCCATACACTAACAATAAACAATTCAAAAAGGAAATTACAAAAACAGCTCTATTTACAATAGCATTAGAAAGGATAAAATACTTAGGAATAAACTTGACTAAGAAGGCAAAAGACTTGTACACTGTAAGCTACAAAATATTACTAAAAAAATTTTTTTAAAAAGCAAATAAATGGAAAGGCATCCCATGTTCAGGAACTGGCAGACTTAATATTAAGATGTCCATACTATCCAAATAATCTAAAGATCCAATGTAATCTCTATCAAAATCCCAGTGGCATTTTTTTGTAGAAATAGAAAAACCTATCCTAAAATTCATATGGAATCTCAAGGGACCCCAAATAGCCAAGACAATTTCGAAAAAGAATAGTCAGAGGACTCACACTACCTGATTTTTAAGTATATTAAAAAGCTACAGTAATTACATGAGTGTAGTACAGACATAAAGACAGACAAATAGACCAATGAAGTAGAATAGAGAGCCCAGAAATAAACTCTCACATATATGGACAAATGATTTAGGACAAGGGTGCCAAGACCACTCAATGGGAAAAGGTCAGTCTTTTCAACAAATGGTGCTGGGAAAACTGGATATCCACATGCAAAAGAATGAAATTAGACCCTTACCTAACACCATATACAAAAATTAACTCAAAATGGATCAAAGATCTAAATAGAAGACCTAAAACTATAAAACTCTTACAAAACTGATAATTGGATAAACAAAATGTGGTATATACATACAATGGAATATTATTCAGCTTTAAAAAGGAAGGTAATCTGGTCACAGGCTTCAACACGGATGAACCCTGAGGACATTAAACTAAGCGAAATAAGCCAGTCACAAGTAACAAATACTGTATGATTCCACTTAAATGAGGTACCAGAAAAGCAAATTCATAGAAACACAAAGTAGAATGGTGGTTGCCAGGGGCTGGGGTGAGGTGGAATGGAGAGTTGTTGTTTAATGGGTATAGAGTTTCAGTTTTGTGAGATGAAAAGAGTTCTGGAGATTGTTTGCACAACAATGTTAATGTATTTAACATTATTAAGGTGTACACCTAAAAATGGTTAAGATGGTAAATTTTATGTT